GCGTGGAGGCACCAGGAGCAGAGGCAGCAGGCGCAGAGGCAGCAGGCGCAGAGGCAGCAGGCGCAGTGGCAGCAGGCGCAGTGGCAGCAGGCGCAGAGGCAGCAGGCGCAGAGGCAGCAGGCGCAGAGGCAGCAGGCGCAGAGGCAGCAGGCGCAGAGGCAGCAGGCGCAGAGGCAGCAGGCGCAGTGGCAGCAGCGACTCGGGTGGACGGGCGCGGTGGGATGACGCACGGCCGGCAGCCACTGGCGTGTGGCTGCCTCCTACCCGCCCTGCTGACCACCCGCTCTGCTCGAGGAGCACTGGAGCGGTCACCGTCAAGGCATCCATCAAGGCATCACTGGCATGGCATGGCATCTCGTGGCGTGGCGTGGGCTAACCGATTTTGGACTTTTGCCTCCAGCAGCAGCAACTGGGAAGTCGCTTTCCCGTCGTTTCTTTCCCCTCGCCTTCCGTTTTCGTCACCCGTCGATTCATTTCATCGTTCCGTGTTTTGCATCTCGTTCTCCACTCCATCAGCGTCCTGCATTGCATTTCACGTTTTTGCACCGTCCCTCTGATACGTTCGGCTGCAGCTTAGTAGACGATCCTCCGCGGGTTTGGGTAGCATAGAGTCCGGGTTGGGTAGATAGAACGGCACAGTCAACAGCTCTCCTCCCTCTGCTAGCTGCAGCCGACGTATCATGGACGTTCATCCATCCCTTCACCTCGTTTCCTTGTGTTGTTCTCCGCTTTCAATTCGCATATTGTTTCCGCTTTCATTTTTTTTTTCGCATTTCGTTTCCTTGTGATTGTTTTCTCTTGCTTTCTTTTTATTTCGCGTCTCTGTTTACTGACTTCGTGCATCTGTCTGTGTGTTCCCTCCCCATGTTTTTCAGCAATCATGGGTGCTTCACTCTATATGGGTTCTTCACTCAGGGAGGCGCCGAGGAGCACTGGAGCGGAGGAGCAGAGGAGCCTGCAGAGGACGGCAGTAGTGAGAGGGAGTGGAGCAGCTTAGGGGGCGTGCAGCAGCAGCAGCAGCAGCGCAGTGACACCGGCGGTGTCAGCAGCGGTGGGAGGAGAGAGGTCCGCAATGACACTACAGCTGACAGCAGCAGTGGCTGGCAGCAGAAGAGAAGACCAGCAGTGACACCAGCGGTGGCAGCAGCGGTGGGAGAAGGAGAGAGGTCCGCAATGACACTACAGCTGACAGCAGCAGTGGCTGGCAGCAGAAGAGAAGACCAGCAGTGACACCAGCGGTGGCAGCAGCGGTGGGAGAAGGAGAGAGGCCCGCAATGACACTACAGCTGACAGCAGCAGTGGCTGGCAGCAGAAGAGAAGACCAGCAGTGACACCAGCGGTGGCAGCAGCGGTGGGAGAAGGAGAGAGGTCCGCAATGACACTACAGCAGCGGTGACAGCAGCAGTGGCAGCAGCAGTGGGATCAGCGGTGGCAGCAGAAGGGATGGCTAGCAGTGAGCAGATGCTAGCAGGGAAGGCTAGCAGTGGGAGCAGATGCTAGCAGCGAAGGCTAGCAGTGGGAGAAGACGAGAAGAGAAGACCAGCAGTGGGAGCAGACGAGAAGAGACGACCAGCAGAGGGAGCAAACGAGAAGAGAGGACCAGCAGCGGGAGCAGATGCTAGCAGGGAAGGGTAGCAGTGGGAGCAGATGCTAGCCCCAAGACTTCAAGACGGCTCAAAACTCTGCAAATTTTGAGAAGCGTCTCAAAATTCACGCTCCCTCGTTCCTCACCTCAGATTTGCTGCAGTGAGCAAAACGTGGGTTTTGAGAAACGTCTCAAAACTCACACTTTGTTGTGGGCTGTGGTTGTTGTTCAAGTGAGGCGCTTTGACCCCCTGGGGGGCAAAGGATCAACACAAGAGGAGCAGCGGGAGGTGAGGCGGCGCCTTCAAGTGAGGCGCTTTGACCCCCTGGGGGGCAAAGGATAAACACAAGAGGAGCAGCGAGAGGTGGAGCGGCGCCTTCAAGTGAGGCGCTTTGACCCCCTGGGGGGCAAAGGATCAACGCACGAGGAGCAGCGGGAGGTGGAGCGGCGCCTTCAAGTGAGGCGCTTTGACCCCCTGGGGGGCAAAGGATCAACACAAGGGGAGCAGCGGGAGGTGGAGCGGCGCCTTCAAGTGAGGCGCTTTGGCCCCCTGGGGGGCAAAGGATCAACACAAGAGGAGGAGCAGCTTCAAGTGAGGCGTTTCCTTCCTCAGCCGGCAGGAGAAGGATGAGTTTTGTGTCGCCCCTCTCCTAGGTGCAGCAAGAACCGGGGCAACACTTAGGGCGAAGTAACTGCTGGTGGGGCAGCAGCTGGAAGGAGCAGCTTCAACTGAGGTGCCTACTTTGCCCCCTGGGGGGCAAAGGATAAGTTCTGTGCCGCCCCTTCCCTAGGTACAGCAAGACTTGGCAGCATCTAGGACCCTGTGTAAGTGGCAGTCTGTTTCTCGCTTTCTTGTTTCTTCGAATGCCTAATCTTCCTGTTCTAGCTGCCAGCACGACATCAAGCCTCGACCTCCCCTCGGTATGTCGTCTCCTTCCATTCCTGCATGTTGTTTTCCCACTCGTACTAACGTCCTTGTTTGCTGCTCCGTGTTTCAGACAGGGCCAAGACACGAAGGCTCAACCCCCCCTCGGTACGTCGTCTCCTTCCATTCCTGCATGTTGTTTTCCCACTCGTACTAACGTCCTTGTTTGCTGCTCCGTGTTTCAGACAGGGCCAAGTCACGAAGGCTCAACCCTCCCTCGGTACGCCGTCTCCTTCCATTCCTGCATGTTGTTTTCCCACTCGTACTAACGTCCTTGTTTGCTGCTCCGTGTTTCAGACAGGGCCAAGACACGAAGGCTCAACCCCCCCTCGGTACGTCGTCTCCTTCCATTCCTGCATGTTGTTTTCCCACTCGTACTAACGTCCTTGTTTGCTGCTCCGTGTTTCAGACAGGGCCAAGACACGAAGGCTCAACCCCCCCTCGGTACGTCGTCTCCTTCCATTCATGCATGTTGTTTTCCCACTCGTACTAACGTCCTTGTTTGCTGCTCCGTGTTTCAGACAGGGCCAAGACACGAAGGCTCAACCCCTCCTCGGTACGTCGTCTCCTTCCATTCCTGCATGTTGTTTTCCCACTCGTACTAACGTCCTTGTTTGCTGCTCCGTGTTTCAGACAGGGCCAAGACACGAAGGCTCAACCCCCCCTCGGTACGTCGTCTCCTTCCATTCCTGCATGTTGTTTTCCCACTCGTACTAACGTCCTTGTTTGCTGCTCCGTGTTTCACACAGGGCCAAGACACGAAGGCTCAACCCCCCCTCGGTACGTCGTCTCCTTCCATTCATGCATGTTGTTTTCCTACTCGAACTAACGTCCTTGTTTGCTGCTCCGTGTTTCAGACAGGGCCAAGACACGAAGGCTCAACCCCCCCTCGGTACGTCGTCTCCTTCCATTCCTGCATGTTGTTTTCCCACTCGTACTAACGTCCTTGTTTGCTGCTCCGTGTTTCAGACAGGGCCAAGACACGAAGGCTCAACCCCCCCTCGGTACGTCGTCTCCTTCCATTCCTGCATGTTGTTTTCCCACTCGTACTAACGTCCTTGTTTGCTGCTCCGTGTTTCAGACAGGGCCAAGACACGAAGGCTCAACCCCCCCTCGGTACGTCGTCTCCTTCCATTCCTGCATGTTGTTTTCCCACTCGTACTAACGTCCTTGTTTGCTGCTCCGTGTTTCAGACAGGGCCAAGACACGAAGGCTCAACCCCCCCTCGGTACGTCGTCTCCTTCCATTCCTGCATGTTGTTTTCCCACTCGTACTAACGTCCTTGTTTGCTGCTCCGTGTTTCAGACAGGGCCAAGACACGAAGGCTCAACCCCCCCTCGGTACGTCGTCTCCTTCCATTCCTGCATGTTGTTTTCCCACTCGTACTAACGTCCTTGTTTGCTGCTCCGTGTTTCAGACAGGGCCAAGACACGAAGGCTCAACCCCCCCTCGGTACGTCGTCTCCTTCCATTCCTGCATGTTGTTTTCCCACTCGTACTAACGTCCTTGTTTGCTGCTCCGTGTTTCAGACAGGGCCAAGACACGAAGGCTCAACCCCCCCTCGGTACGTCGTCTCCTTCCATTCCTGCATGTTGTTTTCCCACTCGTACTAACGTCCTTGTTTGCTGCTCCGTGTTTCAGACAGGGCCAAGACACGAAGGCTCAACCCCCCCTCGGTACGTCGTCTCCTTCCATTCCTGCATGTTGTTTTCCCACTCGTACTAACGTCCTTGTTTGCTGCTCCGTGTTTCAGACAGGGCCAAGACACGAAGGCTCAACCCCCCCTTGGTACGTCGTCTCCTTCCATTCCTGCATGCTGTTTTCCCACTCGTACTAATGTTCCTCGTTTGTCTGATTTAGCAGAGCAGTAAGAGCGGAGGAACAGAGAGGGAGCAGAGGAGGAGGAGTGAAGGAGGAGAGGAGGAGGAGAGGAGAGAGGAGAGGAGCAGAGGGGGATCAGAGGAGATGGGAGCAGCGGTGGAGTGACGGAGCAGAGGGGCCGAGGGAGCACAGGAGACGAAGGAGCGAGGAGCAGAGGGGAAGGAGGGGGGATTCCCAGCCAGTGCCTGTGAGCATCTTCTTTCCATCGTTGCTCTCCGTATTGTCGTTGCTCTGTTCGCTTGCCATCGCTGGGTGCTTATAGATTCTTATAGGTGCCATCGCTTCATTCCGAATCGGTTTTTGGCTCCGGGTGCAATCGCTGGGTGCTTATAGACTCTTTCTTCTTTCCCTTTCCGCAGGAGATGCATCGGAGGGGACGGAGAAGCAGAGGAGCAGCTGGGGAGAGGAGGCGAGGAGAAAAGGAGGCGAAGGAGAACAGGAGGTGAAGGAGAAGAGGAGGCGAAGGAGGCAAGGAGCAGCCGGGGAGAGGAGGCAAGGTGAAGGCAACGGTTGTCTCGTTGTCCGCTTGGCGTCGATTTTGAATCACTTGTTGGCACTGGGTGCAATCACTGAGTGCTCATAGGCTTTTCCTTCCTTCGCATTCTGCAGGAGATGCATCGGAGGGGACGGAGCAGCGACATCAGAGGCAAAGGAGCAGAGGAGGCGAAGGAGAATCCCCTGCCACTGCCGGTGAGGATCTCCTTTGCTGCTCTCTCAATCAATGGTCGTCGCCTTCTTGGCTACGCATTTGTTCCCAATCACTTCTTGGCACTAGGTGCAATTGGTGCAATGAACTCACAGACATTCTTTTCCCATTCCGCAGGATATGGAGCAGAGGATATGGAGTGCAATGAGGATATGGAGTGCAATGAGGATATGGAGTGCAATGAGGATATGGAGTGCAATGAGGATATGGAGTGCAATGAGGATAAGGAGCTGCATCGAAGGAGAGGCAATTGAGGAGAGGCAAAGGAGCAGAGGAGCCGAAGGAGGGGAGGAGCAAGCAGCGGAGGAGGAGAGGAAATGCATCAGGGGAGTAGGAGCAGAGGAGATGCTTCAGAGGAGGAGGAGCAAGGAGATGCATCAGAGGAGGATGAGCAGCTGAGGAGAGGGGGCGTGCGAAAGATCGAAGGAGCAAAGGAACAGAGGAGGCAAAGGAGAATCCCCTGCCACTTCTGGTGAGGATCTTCTTTCCTGCTCTCTAATTGGCCGTTGCATCATTCACTACGCATTTGTTCTCAGTCCAACCTTGGCAGTGGGTGCAACCACTGGGTTCAACCAGTGGGTGCAATTGGTGCAATGCGCTCACAGACTTTCTCTTCCCATTCCGCAGGAGATGGAGCAGAGGAGATGCATGCGAGGAGAGGGAGATGAAGCAGAGGTGGAGCAGAGGAGGTGGAGAAGCAGAGGAGTTGGCTCAGCTGAGGAGCAGCAGAGGAGGAGACGAGGAGCAAAGGAGCGATGGAGCGAAGAAGCACCAGAGGAGACGGCGAAGCAGAGGAGACGGAGCAGCAGAGGAGAGGAAGGAGAGGCAAAGGAGATGGAGAAGAGGAAGGAGATGGAGCGTTGGAGAGACATGGAGCAGAGGGCACGGAGGAGAAGGCACGGATGGGAGAAGGCCAAAGGAGCAGAGGAGCAGAGGAGCAGAGAGAACCGCACAGCTGCGCTTCCCCCCAACGCTGCTGGCTGCACGGAGGAGGAGAAGGCACGGAGGGGAGAAGGCACACAGGCACGGAGGAGCAAGCTGCGAGTTGTTACTGCCTCCCGCGTGCTGCTGCTGGTGCTGTGAAGTGATGGGACGGCAGCTGCTACTCTCCTCGCTCCTACCTCCCTCCCGCGTGCTGCTGCTGGTGCCGTGAAGCGAAGGAGGACTCCCGGCCACTGCTACCGCCTGTGAGCATCTTCTTTCCAGCCTTCGATTTCTTGATCCTTTGGATGGATGGTCGCTGCCTTGTTCGCTTGGCATTGAGTTTAAAACCCTTGTTGCCACTGAGTGCAATTGCTGTATGCTCATTGGCTTTTTCTTCCTTCCCATTCCGCAGGAGATGCATAGGAGGGGACGGAGCAGCAGAGGAGCAGCAGAGGCGCAGCAGAGGAGAGGAGCGGAGGAGATGCATCAGAGGAGGAGGAGCAGAGGAGATGCATCAGAGGAGGAGGAGCAGAGGAGATGCATCAGAGGAGGAGCAGCAGAGGAGATGCATCAGAGGAGGAGGAGCAGCTGAGGAGAGAAGGCGTGTGAAGAATCGAAGGAGCAAAGGAGCAGAGGAGGCAAAGGAGAATCCCCTGCCACTGCTGGTAAGGATCTCTTTCCTGCTCTCGGTTGATGGCCGTTGCCTTATTCGCTAAACATTTGTTCTCAGTCACTTGTTGGCACTGTGTGCAACAACTGGGTGCAATTGGCGCTATGAGCTCACAAACTTTCTCTTCCCATTCCGCAGGATATGGAGCAGAGGAGATGGAACAGAGAGGAGACGAAGGAGAGGAGGAGCAAGCAGCGGAGGAGGAGAGGAGAGGAGCAGAGAGTGAAGGAGAAGCGAAGGTGCAGAGGAGCGCGCTCTTCCCATTCCGCCCTGGGCTGAGATGGTGCAGAGCGGAGGAGCAGAGGTGCGCGCTCTTCCCATTCCGTGGAGCAGCAGAGGAGTTGGCTCAGCTGAGGAGGTGGAGCAGGAGAGGAGACGAGGAGCAGAGGGGCAAACGAGCTCAAGAGCAAAGGAGAGTGTCTTGGCGAGTGCTCTTCCCACGTAGGAATTTCCATAGTCGGCCTCTGGTCGCCTTCCAATCAGGGTGTCTTGGCGAGTGCTCACGCAGCGTCAGGCAAGCGGCGAACAGGAAAAGTATCGAGGCTAGCAAGGAATCAGGATCCTTCGCGAGTTGCAACAGAGGTGTCAGCGTGACCATTGCGAAGAGAAGGCGCAATTTTTCTGGCATGCGACGTGACAGGGGAGTGTGATGACTGTCGCGTAGCTTCTCCAAGTCCCAGCTACCGACGCTTGGCAAAAATGCGTCGTCACTGGCGAGGGATTCAGGCGATTTCTGGGGGGGGGGGGCTGTGCTTGCGGCTGGTTACCCCTCTCTGTTGTTCGCGGTGCAGCTGCAGGTGTTGATGTCAGGTCTGGATGGCCAGCGTGGTTGGCAGTGGTGACAGGGTTTGGATATGCGGTTCGTGTCTGTGCTGGGTTTCGCAGCTGATATGGCGCATTCCTGGAAATTCTGGATGCGCTTCGAGCGTGGGTTGAGCCAACTCCCTGCCGAGTGGGCCTCCTCTGAGGCATTCGAACTTGTAGGCGTTTCTCCCTCGCCTTCCTCTTCTTCATAAATACTCCCCGACGCTGCAGCCTCTTCATCAGTTTCTTCCAACTCGATTAAAGCCCTCCTAGCCGCTGTCTGGAAGGCGTTTTCTGAGCCGCCTCCCTGTGCACCTCTTCCCCGTCCGCGACCTACGCCGCGATCTCCGCCACGACTTCCGCCCCTCTGCGGGCTAGCCGCGACAGCCGAGGGGATTTCTCGTCCTCCGCTCCCTGATCCCTGACAAGACCGAGCTTCCTCTAGCGCTTGCTGCCATTGCGTCCCTGGTAATGGCGAACAAAGGAGAGAAGTCGGTGGTCGACCAAGGTCAGACTGTCGAGAGTGTTCTCGCTCCACCTCCGGCTCCTCCTGTTGCACCTGCTGTTGCTCCAGTGGCTCCCGCAGCACCTCCCGCAGCACCTCCCGCCGCTGTTGCGGCGTCAGCGAATTTCATGCCGCCTGCAGCTGCTGTCCCGCTGAGCCAGTCTCACGAGGTCTCCGCCTCTGGCGCGACACTTCCTGCCGCGCAGCCGACGAAAGTGCCGCTGCAGCAAGACCAGGCCGCTGTTGCGGGTCCTGTGCTGGGGACAGCGGTTGGGTGCCGGCCCTGGTTCTGCTCACAATTTGACCCCCGCGGCCGCGCCTGGCGGCGTTGCGGGGGGTCAAGCGGCATCGCATCGGGGTCGCGGTTCTCCCCATCGTATCGATCGGCGCCTCGCGGTGGGCGTGGTGGCTGGTGGGGAGGTCGCGGTCGCGGGCGCGGCGAGATGAACGAAATGCAGCAATTGCGCGCAAACTTCCCGAGGAAATTGGCTGCGGCAATGCGTGCGGCTCTGGCAGGCGCGCCGAACACGGACGGGGCGCAGGCTCCTGCCCATGCAGCATCCGTCCCTACTGTTCCCGAGCGGGGTCCCCCGCCTCCAACCGCGGCTCAGGCCCCGCAAACACAGCCGTACGCGCACTTCCCTGCTCCAGCTGTTGTGCATGCACCTCCAGCCGCCACGCGTCCTGTCTCTGCGGCTCCGTATCCCGACTTGCCGTGGATTCCTGCTGTGGCGGGCATGGGATTTGTGGGGGCGGGAGGCGGAGAGGCGAGGGGGCAGTTCATCCTGCGTCGTCGTCTTGCTGATGTTCCCGTTGCGCCACCTCCCCCCTCTCTTCCCGTAGTGCCCACGGCGACTCTTGGGCAGCTCTGGTATTTGGTGAAGTGTCAGCAGTCCCTGACACTGATTTTGGTGAATGCACACTTTGCCATTCTCCAGAGCCCAGGGAGCACTCTCAATCCATGTGAGAGAGCAGAATGCTTGACAGCGGCTTCGCAATCTGTCGTCCTCCTCCTACCCGTGCTGGCACCGCCCGCGACGGGAGACGTAGTGGTCTCGCAGCTGGACGAGACGGTCCAGGGTCTGACAGGACACCTCCGTGGTGGAGGCGGGATTGAAGTTGTCGGCGCGACAGCGTTAGTGGTCCGACAGTTGTGGAGGACCATTCGTGGAATCCTCGCGGCCCTTGATGCCCATCTTATGTAGTTTCGGGCACCCGCCGCACATAGACCCGCTGCATTTTGTTGTCTACGTGTAGAGCGCGTTGGTTGCCCGCGTCATGTATTGTATGCTTCTTGTTTGTTCTTCGTTTAATGCTTGCCTCCCAAATGCACGTGGCCGCAGGCCGCGCACACGAGCGCTGGCGGCTGAGCGCTTACCATTTCTGCAACAAAATGAACTAATGAAAGAGGACGCACCTCATGGGGCCCTTATATAGCTATAGGACTAAGGGTAGAGGCTGAGGGCAGAGGCAAAGTCCCCTATCTCCCTCTCTCTCTCTCTCTCTCTCTCTCTCTCTCTCTCTCTCTCTCTCTCTCTCTCTCTCTCTCTCTCTCTCTCTCTTGTGAAAAGGAGAACGCGAATGGATGAACTATGAATGAAGTGAGTACATATAGGAAACCCTAATTTGGTTGTACCCCCTATGGGATACCCCACTATAGCCTACACAACAGCATAAGCTATATAATGTTCTGACACACCCCCATAGGCAAAGTGGGGGAGAACAAGGGGTCACAAGACCAGTCACGCAAAGCACAGCAAGCTCAGGGTGGATCACAAAGTCACCACACAGTCCGAGCACAACGACAAGGCCACAAGGCCAGTTCACATGCAGGAGGACACATATATATATAGAGCTAGACAAGCAAGAGCAGGTATATATATGTGACAGTACAAGCAAGGTCAAGAGGAGAGCAAGTGAGGCAAGACAGGTACAAGACCCAACTGAGTGCAGAAGCGCTGATGGTCACAAGGCGCAAGTGCCTTGGTGAACACATCAGCAGTGTTGGCCTCAGAGGCCACGTACGCAAGTCGCAACTGACCACGCTGCTGCAGCTCACGAGCAAGAAAGTAACGGAGAGCAATGTGCTTCGTTCTGTGCTCCAAGCGCTGCTCTCGACACAAGGCCAGCATGGCCTTGTTGTCTACGTACAGCACTGGAGGAGAACGAGGCTGCTCTCCAAGGTCAGTCAGCAGGTAGGTGAGCCAGCGAAGCTCCTGTGCAGCCATGGCCCCGGCGTAGATCTCAGCCTCACAACTGGAGCCGAGAACAGAGGACGAGCGAGTAGCCCGCCACGAGACAGAGCCGGAACCAAGACTGAAGGTGTAACCCTGCGACGACCGCTGCGTAGCCTGGTCGTCAGCCCAAGAAGCGTCCGCGTGCCCAGTGAGGACCACTGGACTCCGCCCTCCAAGCACTAGCCCCATGCCCGACGTACTGCACAAGTAGCGCAACACCCTCTTCGCTGCAGCCATGTGCTCTGGTCGGTGTCTCCCAGGAGCAACATAGCGTGCAAGAATGCTAAGAGGGTATGCAAGGTCAGGTCGTGTGCAGGTCATCAGGTACATGAGGCAGCCAACAAGCTCTGGGTACGGGCCACTCGACTCTACGGACTCATCCGAAGGCAGAGCTGAGAGCGAGTGGCGAGTAGACAGAGGAGTGGCCTGAGGCGAGGAGTACGTGAAGCCGAAGCGCTGAAGGACCTGCTGCACCATGTGTGACTGAGTCAAGGTAATGGTGCGGCGTGCTCTGTCCCGAGTGATCTGCAAGCCAAGGTAGCTGCGCAGTTCACCCAGGTCTGTGCACGTGTGTCTCTTCTGCAGCTCGGACTTCACGTAGGCTAGTCCAGCAGTGTCAGCTGTGGCAAAGACCAAGTCGTCGACGTACACGAGGATGTAGAACGGCGGCAAAGAAGTGTCGGTGCGCAGAAACAACGACGGGTCAGCAGTAGAGGGAGCAAACCCAAGAGCCGCAAGCGTAGTCCTCAGTGTGTCGTGCCACTCACGCGGTGCCTGGCGGAGACCGTAGACTGGCCGTCGGAGGCTCCACTGGGTGCCAGGAGGGAAAGTCCCAGTGAAGCCAGGTGGACGGCGCAGCCAGATCTCCTCGTGCAGGCTACCCTGCAAGAAAGCAGTGCTGAAGTCAAGAGAGTGGAGCTCGTAGTCGCGCTGAGCGGCTATGTGCAGCAGCACCCGAAGAGTGGTCATCTTCGGGGTGGGAGAGAAGGTCTGAAAGTAGTCAACTCCCTGCCGCTGACTGAAGCCACGAGCGACGTACCGCGCCTTGAAGACAGGTGGAGAGCCCGGCGGCCGCTTCACCCTGAAGATCCACATGCCACTGACGATGTTCGCCCCAGGAGGGGGCACCGCGTCAACGTAGGTGCCTGTGGACTTCCAGGACGCCATCTCTGCATCCATAGCTGCCTGCCACTGAGAGGAGTAGGGACCCTCTACGGCCTCCGCGTAAGAGCGCGGAGTCGGGATGTCTAGTGCATCCGGGTCTCCCTCAGGGGCAAGTAGTACGGACGCGAGATGAGGTGAAGCAGCAGCCAGACACTGGAACTCCTCCTGCCTGTCCTCAAGGACGTCCGTGCCAAGAGCACACTCACCCCCGACGGACGGAGGACAGACAGACGCATACTCAGCAACAAGACCGGCAGCGTAGTCTAGACGACAGCGAGCAGCAAAGTCGATGAGCTCAGCAACAAGCGCAGACGCAGCAGTGGACTCAAAAGAGGGGTCAGTGACGACAGTAGCAAGGAGACGTGTGACAGTAGGACTAGCAGCACGAAGAGAGTCGGACTCTGGGTCGGTAAGTGCAGGAAGGGAGGACTCAGGAGGAGAAGGCAAAGGGGCACGCAGAGGAGCAGTGGACGGACGCAAAGACATCCGGTGCGTGCCAGGGACAGGAGGAGGACGCTGACGCGAACAGCGACCACTAGCGCGAGCAGCACGAACAGGCGACGCAGGACGAGACGCAGGCTCACGACGCTCAGCAAGACCTCCAGTGGGACCAGTGTAAGGAGAGGGAGCAGGAAGTGGGGAGGCGGGCTCTAACTGGGACTGTGACTGAACAGGCGGTGGACACGCTGCAGGAGGAGAAAGACCAAGAACCTGCTGTAGGAGTGGAACGAAGTACGGCCGAGGCCGCGCGGCGACTCCAGACACAGCAGGGACAGCACCCTCAGCAGCAGCACCAGCGCCAACAGCACCTCCAGCGGCAGGACCTCCAGCAGCACCAGCAGCACCCGCAGCAGGACCACCGCCAGGAAGGACAGCAGCAGTCTCAGCACCAACGCCCGCAGCAGCTCCAGCTCCAGGCGGACCCGAGGGCCCAGCAGCTCCGGGACCAGCGGCACAAGTACCCTCAGCAGCCGAAGGAGCTCCAGCTCCAGCAGTACGTCTCCAGCGGCGAGCAAACCACTCGCGCAGCTCCTGTGGAGAGAGGGGCTCCCGCCGAGGCGAAGCACCCGGAGAACCGCCAGGTCCCGCACCGCCAGACGCCACAAGGGGAGGTCCAGTGGCCGCAGGCTCCGCAGCTCCAGGCTCAGCAGCTCCAGACGCAGCACCCCCTGGCTCAGCACCCCCAGTCGCAGCACCCCCAGGCTCAGCACCCCCAGACTCCGCACCCCCAGGCTCAGCACCCCCAGTCGCAGTACCCCCAGGCTCAGTACCCCCAGACTCAGCACCCCCAGGCTCAGCACCCCCAGGCTCAGCACCCACGCGCGTAGCACCCCCAGAGTCAGCACCCCCAGGCTCAGCACCCGCAGCAGGACCAGAGTCACCAGCAACCTCGACCGGCTCGACTGCGTCTACCTGGGACACACCTGAAGGGGCAGGACCCTGAGGGGGAAGGGGGTCTACCGGGGGGGGACCTGGCACAAGGAAGTGCGGTGGCGGGGGGAGGGAAGGAGTGCGGTAGGGGAAGAGGCGGTAGAAGGGGACTGACTCGTCGAACGTGACGTCCCGGGAGGACAGAACACGACGAGAGGAGGGGTGGTAGAACTGCCACCCTGGGGCGTCAGGGGGGAAGCCGAGGAAGACACAGGGAGCAGCACGAGGGGACAGCTTGTCCGCAGACAAGTCGCGGACAAACGCCCGAGATCCCCAGACACGGAACGCAGACGCATCGCCGACCTTCCCCGTCCACAGCAGAGCTGGGGAGGTCTCCGGCCGGGAGACCCTGGGGTGAAGGTTGATCTGATGCGCCGCGTACCGAACCGCAAACGGCCACAGAAAATGGGGGGCAGCCGCATGCATCATGGACGTACGAGCGACGTCCATGACCATGCCAATGCGGCGCTCAGCAATCCCATTTTGCTGTGGAGAGTCCGGAAGCGTAAAGGTCTGGCGGATGCCTCGTGCACGACAGTAGGCTCGCAGAAGGCCAGAGGAGAACTCTCCACCTCGGTCAGAGTGCAGACGCAGAACAGGAAAGTCCGAGCCGAAGCTCCTCCTGAGCTGGAGACGAGCTGCGCGGATCCAGTCGATCAACACCTCAGTGACATCACCCTTGCTGCGCAAGGGGAAGACTGTGGTGTAACGCGAGTAGTCGTCAACCACCAGCAGGAAGTAGCGCTCGTGACCCTGCCCACGGACGCGGGCCGGGCCCCACACGTCCATGTGAAGCGTCTGCAGAGGAATGTAAACATAAACATATATGTTATGACATCGCAGCCAGCGGGCGATGGCGTCGCACGATGCGTCGGCGATTCCCGCCTGCGCTTTCCTTGTGAAGAGCGAACGAGGAGAGCCCCAAGGGGAAGGAGCATGACCTTTCCGTGGCTGAAGATCAGTTTTCGTGGCGCTGCGGATGTCGCATCTGGCGCCACATCAGCAGCGGCTGAAGAGGCGGATCCGACAAAACTGAGCAACGTGGCTGACGAATGCATGATCCTGATTTTCAAGCTGTCCTCGACTGACCTGAACCGTTGCTTCCTCATGTGACGACGGTGACCTGAACCGTTGCTTCATCGTGTGACGACGGTGAAAGGAGTAAGTAGATGGTCAGCGCTGCCATGTGCGATGGTCTACGCTGCCATGTGCGCTGGTCCGCGCTGCCATATGTGTTGGTCCGAGCTGGCAAGTGTGCTGGTCCGAGCCGGCATGTGTGCTGGTCCGCACCGGCATGTGTGATGGTCCGCGCCGGCATGTGTGCTGGTCCGCGCCGGCATGTGTGCTGGTCCGCGCCGGCATGTGTGCTCGTTCTCACCCCCCAATCGTTCTCTGACCCCCGTCCCCCTCCATCCCCTAACATCGCAGCGCGCCGCCGCCGAGCGCCCCTCCACCATTCATGGCTAGCCACGTGGCACTGCACCGGCACGACGGCTCGCCCACCTGGTACGACAAAGATGAGCAACACAACAGAAAAACAAAGCGATTAAAGCAAATTATTTGAACAGAAACGAAAGGCATGTGAAGAAGAAACGTAAGAATCAAATGATATCATGCCCCTTTCCCTCGCCCCACTCCCTGCCAAACATCCTAGCCATACTTCCCAGTCATACCTTCCAGCCATACCTATACCTCCCAACCATACCTATACCTCCCAGCCATATGTCGTTGCCTTCGTTTTGCACCTGCTCTGAGTTCTGCCTTGGCACTGGGTGCAATCGGGGCCTTACACTGGTGCAATCGGGGCCTTACACTGGTGCAATCGGGGCCTTACACTCATTGTCCCTGAGTCATTCTCCTCACATTCCACAGAAGGACGCAGAGGCGAGGGAGCAGCAGACGAGAGGGATCAGCAGTGGAGATGCAGAGCAGACGGTTGCTACAGGCGAGCAGAGGAGACGGCTGCTACAGGCGAGCAGAGCAGACGGCTGGTACAGGCGAGCAGAGCAGACGGGTGGACTGCCATGAGCGGGCCAGTGAGCTATTGCTGCCAAGGAGCTGTGAAGGGGATGAAGCAGCTGCTACCTCCCTCGCGCCTACCTCCCTCCCTACTACCTCTTCCCCACGTGCTGCTGCTGGTGCTGTGAAGTGATGGGACGGCGAGCACAAAGGCCAGCAGTGGCAGCAGCGGTGGCAGCAGCAGTAGGAGCAGAAGAGAGTCCCGCAGTGGCAGCAGAAGGGAATACAAGCAGTGGCAGCAGCGGTCAGCAGAAGAGAAGCAGTGAAGACGACTGGCCACCCTCCCCGTGTGCTACTCCAGAGGACCTCGTTTGCTGGTGAAGCAGATTGCAGGGAACACAGGTTGCAGGGAAGCAGAGTAGGGGGTGAAGCAGATTGCAGGGAACACAGGTTGCAGCGAAGCAGAGTAGGGGGTGAAGCAGATTGCAGGGAACACGGGTTGCAGCGAAGCAGAGTAGGGGGTGAAGCAGAGTGCAGGGAACACAGGTTGCAGCGAAGCAGAGTAGGGGGTGAAGCAGATTGCAGGGAACACAGGTTGCAGCGAAGCAGAGTAGGGGGTGAAGCAGATTGCAGGGAACACAGGTTGCAGCGAAGCAGAGTAGGAAACGCACCCCTTGTGAGTTTCGAGAGACGTCTCGAAACTCACTCTCAAAACTGCAGCTTAGCTGAAGTGAGCAAAATCAGGGTTTTGGAACTCACTCTCCCTCCTCACTGCAGCTTAGCTGAAGTGAGCAAAATCAGGGTTTTGGGACACATCTCAAAACTCTTTTGCCCTTGGGCAGTTTGCTCTGTGTTCTGTCTCCCCCCCCAACAGGGTCACATAATAATTTCCACCTGCCCCTGGGCAGTATCCAGTATCCTTTTGTGTTCTGTCTCCCCCCCCAACAGGGTCACATAATAATTTCCACCTGCCCCTGGGCAGTATCCAGTATCCTTTTGTGTTCTGTCTCCCCCCCCAACAGGGTCACATAATAATTTCCACCTGCCCCTGGGCAGTATCCAGTATCCTTTTGTGTTCTGTCTCCCCCCCCAACAGGGTCCCATAATAATTTTTACCTGCCCCTGGGCAGTATCCAGTTTCCTTTTGTGTTCTGTCTCCCCCCCCAACAGGGTCCCATAATAATTTCCACCTGCCCCTGGGCAGTATCCAGTGTCCTTTTGTGTTCTGTCTCCCCCCCCAACAGGGTCACATAATAATTTCCACCTGCCCCTGGGCAGTATCCAGTATCCTTTTGTGTTCTGTCTCCCCCCCCCAACAGGGTCCCATAGTAATTTTTACCTGCCCCTGGGCAGTATCCAGTTTCCTTTTGTGTTCTGTCTCCCCCCCAACAGGGTCCCAAGCGATGGTTCCCACCTCACCGCGGTGCTTGGGTGTAACGTTGGGAGCTTGCTCCTGGCGGCCAAGAGGAACCCCCCATGCACACCTACAGTGCATGGGTAGTACAATAGTACAACTATTAATAATTGTTTCGGATCATGATTAGGAACTTTGAATGGATAATTAGCATGAAACTGGTATATTCTGCAATAGGTGTTGCTTTAGTATAGGCGTGGACAAATTTTGCAATTGACTAGCAGGTTATATTATTCAAAATCAACTGATGCACCATATGATGTGCATTTCCTGGTGTGACAGACTGAACAGCTTGATTAGAACCAGAGACAGAACCAGAGACGAAACCATACAGACAGAATTTAGAAAGAAGCGCACAAACAGAGCCACATAGACAGCTGAAGTGACGGTTGCTGAGCTGAGGCTTTGTGTTTACTCGTGTAATGAGGATGGATGTTGCTTACTGCACACATTGGAAATAAAATGCAACAATGGCATGTCTTGGTGGCCTAGCACTCGCTGTGGTTGCAGAATAACCACACTGCTTGCACAATCTTCAAGTGACCTAGGAACGATACCCTGAACTGTCATGTCAACGTTGGTAATGCACGCACTGTGCTACCAGATTATTGCTAGAAAAGATTGAACAACAGTATGCTTAAACATGCTGCTAAACGTCAACATGGTCTTTCTCATTGCCGAACAGACTTGATGCTTCTTAGGGCCTGCACAGCACACCACAGCAAGTAGAGCACACAGTATGCACCACACTACAAACAGGGCATAATTTGTAGTGTCACATCACGTAGTGGTATCTCGAAACAGGAACGCAGAATCAAGATGTATTGCTGATAGCCTACAGTGCCCCTATGGGCCGTGCAACCGTATGAATATTGAAAATGGCCTACCTGCACGTGCACAGAGGGATGTGCGACAGACGAGAGAACGAACGTTAGTGCTGCTGCATCCTTACACATGTCTTGAGGTCACACATGCCTTGAGCTCACACATGCCTGCTGCTCACACATGCCTGCTGCTCACACATGCCTGCTGCTCACACATGCCTGCTGCTCACACATGCCTGCTACTCCTGACCGAACATGTGTGATGGGAGCCAGAATGTGCACAAGGTGATCAACAGGAAGGAGGGTGTGAGGAAGGGGTGGTTTTTTCTCAGTGGTAGTTGAGACTTCTCTAAGACAGCCAGAGGGTGATAGTGATTGAGCATCTCACCTAACTGCTATCTCATGAACTCACCCTTATCATGAAATCGCCCTTTTCATGAACTCACCCGTATCGTGAAATGGCCCGTCTCATAAACTCACCCTTATCATGAAATGGCCCTTCTCATAAACTCACCCTTATCATGAAATCACATAGAAATTTGGCTGAGTGCACCAACTCCCGTGTGAAGGCCACCAGTCTCGATTCCCCACATACACCATAGCACGCCATGCAGGCTGCATAGCATACATACAAGTGCATTGTGTGCACATGCATGTACTGTGTGTGTGTTGTTTGAACTGGCAGCACCTATGGATGAGCCCCACCGGTTTCAGCCTGTTTAGCCTTGCCTGTTTATCCCATGCTTGTTATCCCTGCTTGTTTCACCCACCTGTTCAGCCCCTGTCTCATCCTGCTTCTTTAGCCTGTATCGCCTAGCCTTCTTCTATGGCCCTGATTTTCTAACCCTGCTTGTTTACCCCCGTCCATCCTATTTAGCCTAGTAGTCATGGCAGCCATGGCAGCACCAGCGCCATGGCAGCTTAATAAGCAGCAGTAACCTTCACTGCTTGCTCACACGGAGGGAGGCACACCTGTCGGGAAGCATGAGTCAAGCAAGCAAGAAGAGGCACAAGGGTCAGTGGGTGAAGCGAGCAAAAATTAGCACAAGGGTCAGTGGGTGAAGCTTGCTGAAAGAGGCACAAGGGTCAGTGGGTGAAGCTTGCTGAAAGAGGCCCAAGGGTCAGTGGGTGAAGCTTGCTGAAAGAGGCACAAGGGTCAGTGGGTGAAGCTTGCTGAAAGAGGCACAAGGGTCAGCGGGTGAAGCTTGCTGAAAGAGGCCCAAGGGTCAGTGGGTGAAGCTTGCTGAAAGAGGCACAAGGGTCAGTGGGTGAAGCTTGCTGAAAGAGGCACAAGGGTCAGTGGGTGAAGCTTGCTGAAAGAGGCCCAAGGGTCAGTGGGTGCTGTTTGCTGAAAGAAGCACAAGCGTATGTGAGCGAAACAAGCAGAAAGAAGCACAAGCGTATGTGAGCGAAACGAGCAGAAAGAAGCACAAGGTTCTGTGGGTGTAGTGTGCAAAAAGAGGGACAAGGTACTGTGAAAGAAGCTAGAAAAACGGGCCACAAAAACTATGTGCGGTGAGCGTGGATCGAACACGCGACCTTCAAATTTTCAGTCTGACGCTCTCCCAACTGAGCTATCCCCGCATACTCTGAAATTACGATATCAATCCCCGTACCTCGCGCATGCTAAGCGAGCGCTCTACCATCTGAGCTACATCCCCGTTAGAATCCAAAAACGGCACTACATCAAGGCCCCCAAAAACTGGTGGGCAGCAGAGGAAGAAAGTAGGATAGGAGAGTGAGCGAGGAGGAAGAGCAGGAGGGGGAGTAAGAGGGGGGGGGGGATAGAATGAGGAGGTAGCAGTCGCACAATAGCCAGAAGCAGAGTCGAAAGTGCATAACCACTGGTCAACATAATGTGACTTACCAGAGCAGAGACTGAAGAGTACAAAGCTGGTTACACACTCGGACGGGTGGTGGTGATGGTGTTTGCTGCTGCTGCTGCTTCTGAAACTGCTGATATAGTCAACTGCATTTTTCCATTGTCCTGGAACACAGGAGAGGGATGATAGAATTGGAGGGCAAGAGGGCACCGCAGAGTGAAAGCAGTTGAAGGAAAATGAAAGCAAAAGAAGGGAAATGAAAGCAACTGAAGGGAGTTGAACAAAAGAAAACTGAAAGCAACTGAAGAGAGTTGAACAAAAGAAAACTGAAAGAACAGAAGGGAACTGAAAGCATTGGAAAGGGCAAAGCAGGTCGAAAGCAGCTGAGCATAATGGAGGTAGCGAGTGATGGGAGGAATTGGCAGGGCAGAGAGCAGCCCATGACAGTGCGGCAGTGAGCTGAGCAAAGGCAAGGGGGGGATTGGGGTAGAGAGGGACGCGGGTATGGGATGAATGCAAGCTAACCCGCTAGACTCTAGAATGCGCTCCTTTGCCGCCCTGCCATGGGCTGCCCCCCCCATGCGCCTCTACTCTGCCATGAATTCTTAGACATTCTACTTTGGAAACACGTGGATTGCGACGGAAAAAGTGAGAGATCGGAAGGAGAGTGACTCGGAAAAGAGCACTCAGCTTTAGTGCTCGATGTGATGCTGAAGTGACCATCACTTTCGCCGCGATCGCTGCGACGGTCGGTCGCGTTGGCTGACGCGTGGTCGTTAGTTCGTCGCACGTCACGCGACGACCTCGCTGGTCGACCGTCGCCGTCGCTCGTCAGCTGTCGCTCGTCAGCTGTCGCTCGCGACTCGCGTACTTCGTCGCGCGCCGCTCGTCGCTCGTCGTCGCTCCACACTGAGTGCTTTATGTGACGCCGAGAGATCACTTTCACAAAAACTGAGTGTTTCGTAAAAGAGCGCATGGGTTGCACGCCGTGACGCTGCGTCGTGACGCAGACGACCAGATGCGGCTCGAACGACGAGTCGACGTGAGACTTGGTGGTCGCCGCCGCGACGATGACTGGAGCTCACAAACAGCTGATCAGGTAATTTGAACAACGCACGTCTCCCGGTATGCA